ATGGGGATTCAGTTTCTGTCAACGGTTCTTTTAAGATCAGCAACAGCTCTTCCAAGGTAAAACTCCTTCCACCAGAACTCTGCAGCTTCTACTTAGAGTGAGCCGGTTCAGGCCCGGTTCAGGTTAGGGTTAGGGTTAGGGTTAGATGAAGGTTCTGACTGGTCCCAGTTGGGATGTTGGTGGTGTCGCTCTGCAGTTCTGGGCGGCGATCCAACAAGGTTCTGTTTCAGCGAGTCGCCTGGAGGCGGCGGACCAGAGCTGGGCTCGGCCCGGTTCGTCACAGTTAGTGTGACTGTGAAGGTTCTGGTTCTGACCCGGTTTTGTGTTTCAGGACCGCAACGGAAACCAGCTGCAGGAACGGACCCTGAATGAGGTAACCTCTACTTCCTGTTTCCACTTCGACCAATCAGCTTTCAGTCGGCTCAGCGTCAGAGCCCGGTTCTGGGTCTGACCCAGTTCTGACCCGCTTTTTGTCAACAGGAAGTGCGCCAGCGGTTGGTCGCGCTCAGCACACAGCTTCACGGCCTGCAGGTCCGTTCCTCCAGTCTCAAAGCCTTTCCTGTTGAAGCAGGAAGTGATGTAACGGGTGTGTTTGGCTCCGCTCCCAGGCGGCGGTGATCGGCAGGACTCAATCCTGGAGCTGTCGGCGGGCGTTGCCCACCCGGCCGGCCCGGGCTCCGCCCCCCGCCTGGTGCGGTCGATGTCGCGCGACGCGGCACTGGACGCCAGCGGCGAGGCGGTGCTGCTGCGGCGGCAGGTGGAGCTGCTGCAGGAGGAACTGTCACGGCTGCGTCTGAAGGCGGAGGAGGGCGGCAAGAAGGGGGCGGGGTCTGGAAAGAAGAAGAAGAAGAACAAAGGGAAGGGCGACGCCTCCAAGGACCAGCAGGTGCGTCCGGACAGCCAGGTGATGCGGCGCGACGATGGCGAACAACCCTGATGTCCGCCGTGATGTCCACCGTGTCTCCCAGCAGGTGGACAGGAAGCCGGAGGCCGAGCCGCCCGCAGTCGCCCCGTTGGCCGTCGAGGATCCCGTCGACCAATTAGATGGCCTGGAGGAGGGCCCGGAGGAGGAGGAGGAGGAAGTGATGAAGATCTCGCCGCGCTCCGACAGTCCCAGAGGTCAGTACCGCCGTCCCCGCCGTGTGTCTCACTGTCACCATGGTAACCGCCGCTCTGTGACCCCCAGACCTCCAGGACATTCCAGAGGAGAGCGAGAGCTAACCTCCCATTGGACGTCACCGCCGTGATGTCACCGTGATGTCACCGCCATGACCATGACGTCACCGTGATGTCACCGCCATGATGTCACCGCCATGATGTCACCATGATGTCACCGCCATGACGTCACCGTGACGTCACCGCCGTGATGTCACCGTGATGTCACCGCCATGACGTCACCGTGATGATGTCTCCGTGATGATGTCACCGTGATGTCACCAGAGATCCACTCGCTGTCGGACTCTTTCCTTCAACATTTCCAAAATTTTCTGTTGGATACAGGAAGTGTAACCATGACAACTGTTTACTGATCATGTCTGCTGGAGGGGGAGGGGCTTATTAAGAGGGAGGGGCTTACAGAGGCTGTGGTCAGCTCTGATTGGAGGCCATAAGGCCAGTGGGCGGAGTTTGTGTGTCTCAGTCCAAAGTTCAAAATCTAGTTCAAAAAACGCTTGAGGCGATCAGCCATGCTGGGAGCTGGAGACCAGTACAGGTTACTGGGAGCTACTGGGAGGGTCAGGGGCAAAAGAACCTGGAGTGAAACTGTGGATAAAACAGGAAACGCTGCTTGGCAGGATTTCAGATATTAAAACGAGAGACTGATTAATAAATAACAATCGATTTGGCCTGATAGGATCGCTGAGTCAGCAGGTCTCAGAGCGTACCGACCTGCTGACCTTCACTGGAAGCAGAAACATTTCTCTTCCTGGCTCAGAGCCATCATGAGACACATGAACGGTCACCACACTACATTACCCAGAAGGCCTTTGGAGCTGCAGCCTGACTGTGGGAACTTTATTTAAACAGAAGTAGTTTTAGAAACTTTTATTCTGTTTGTTACGTCTGAATATTTAGCTTCAAAATCTGTTCCAGGTTCAGGTGAAGCCAAAAAGTTTTTAATACAGCAGCGGGTTGGGGAGGGGAACCAGTTAGAGATAGGAACTGGGAGGACTGGGAGGGAGGTCTGCATGGGTCACATCTGCTGTCCATTAGCATGTTAGCATGGCTGTTTTTTCTATAAGAGTTAATTAACCAGTTTGTAAGTGTCAACATGATGATGATGATGATGATGATGAGGTCACATGATGTAAACACTATGAACCTGCTGATGGACACAAACGACTCCAGCTGCTTCAGCTGATGATGATGATGAAGGTTTCCTGTCCAGAATATTTCAGAGAATTTACAGAAACATCTGGAAGATCCAGGAGAAAAGCTGAAGCCTTTCAGGAACTGATTATTGATTATTGATTTCTGCTGAATATAAAACCCTCAGAAACTTCCTGTCTGCTGTTATTATGATGGATGGATGATAAATGGATGGATGATAAATGGATGGATGATAAGAGCTGTACAGTGGCGGCTGCCTTGCAGCAAGCAGGTTCTGGGTTCAATTCCCAGCCTGAGGCTTTCTACATGGCTCAGAGCCATCATGAGACACATGAACGGTCACCACACTACATTACCCAGAAGGCCCAGACCCAGAACCCACCATGGCCAGCATGGTGGGTTCTCTCCGGTTCTCTCTGCTTCCTCCCACGGTCCAAAAGCATGACTGTCAGGTTCATTGGTCTCTAAATTATTCTCCCTCGAGTGAGTGTGTGTGTGGTTGTTTATCCTGTCTGTCTCTGTTGAACTAGATGACCTCTAGTCCAGATGACCTCCAGGTGACCCCACTAGGGAAAGGGTGAGGATAGATGCTAACCTGGCTAGCAGCCGGTTCAGGTGGCCCTGAGGTGCAAACCACTTCAACAATTTACAAAAATAAAACGGAAGAGGAACAAAGATCCCAGTTGGAGAAATGGCTGATCGGACGACGGCTTTTGAAGCGGAGTTATCACTTGATAACTTCCGGTCAGCCTGTTGTTTGCGATGCGCTACAGAGTTAAAACGAGTAAATGGATCGAACTTCATACTTCAGTACAAAACATTTCAGATACTTTAAGACTTTAACTCAAGCAACATTTCAATCAGTGACTTTTACTTTGACCAAAGTCATATTTTGGAGCGGTGCCGATACTTTTACTGGACTCTGAGATTTCACTACTTTATACAACACTGGCTGATTGTAGTGGCTCCACATTGTTAGCAGAACTAGGGGGCCCAAAACCTGATTTAGCTTGGGCCGGCTCTGGCCTCTCCCTCTTTAGAAACACAACACAGTATATAAAAAAGTTAGCTAAGAGAATAATCAGAGTAGTTAACTGGGCCAATTTAGTGACAAAGGAACTATTTTTTTGTCGTTTATTAGTTTGTTTCACCACAGAAATGTGCAGCACTGCCCACAAAGTCAAACATTCTGCTCCTAAATTTACATCGTTATTATCTTTAATGTTACCAGTGAAAGGTAAAGGCAGTGGCTCCACTTTGAACTGTAAAACCGTTGAAACTCGTCCACAGCACGTTTTCTCCACTGCCACTTTCAAAATGGCGGCGACATAAGTTGGACTCAGCGTGTTCGTATTCAGGCCTCTTGTCCAATCAGTTATTTCTCAGGTCTCACACTGGGACACACCCTTTCTGCTTGTTAATATTGTAGTGTTTGTGGAAGTGGTTTGCACCTTAGAGCCACCGAGTTACTGAATTCTCTGCTGGATGTCAGATCATTATCAGCTAAAGGACCAGTTCACGACCCATCACCGACCGTAACGAGATGTGGATCTGCAGTGGCGTCTTCACATCATCGACGGTAAAGAACGCTGCTGCTGGAGTTCTGACTAAAACTAGGAAGATAGAGACACCGCCCGGTTCTACACCAGCCGGTTCCACTCCAATCGGTTCTACACCAATCGGTTCTACACCAATCGGTTTTACACCAGCCGGTTCTACTCCAATCGGTTCTACACCAATCGGTTCTACTCCAATTGGTTCTACTCCAATCGGTTCTACACCAACCGGTTCTACACCAATCGGTTCTACACCAATCGGTTTTACACCAGCCGGTTCTACTCCAATCGGTTCTACACCAATCGGTTCTACACCAATCGGTTCTACACCAATCGGTTTTACACCAGCCGGTTCTACTCCAATCGGTTCTACACCAATCGGTTCTACACCAATCGGTTCTACCAATCGGTTCTACACCAACCGGTTCTACTCCAATCGGTTCTACACCAATCGGTTCTACACCAATCGGTTTTACACCAGCCGGTTCTACACCAATCGATTCTACACCAATCGATTCTACACCAGCCGTTCTACACCAATCGGTTCTACACCAGCCGGTTCTACACCAATCGGTTCTACACCAGCCGGTTCTACACCAATCGATTCTACACCAAACGGTTCTACACCAATCGATTCTACACCAATCGGTTCTACACCAATCGATTCTACACCAAACGGTTCTACACCAATCGATTCTACACCAAACGGTTCTACACCAATTGATTCTACACCAATCGATTCTACACCAGCCGGTTCTACACCAATCGGTTCTACACCCCGGTTCTACACCAATCGGTTCTACACCAGCCGGTTCTACACCAATCGGTTCTACACCAGCCGGTTCTACACCAATCGATTCTACACCAAACGGTTCTACACCAATCGATTCTACACCAATCGGTTCTACACCAATCGATTCTACACCAAACGGTTCTACACCAATCGATTCTACACCAATCGGTTCTACACCAATCGGTTCTACACCAATCGGTTCTACACCAGTCAATTCTACACCAATCGTTTCTACACCAATCGGTTCTACACCAGTCGATTCTACACCAATCGGTTCTACACCAGCTTGTTCTACACCACCGGTTCTACACCGCCCGGTTCTACACCGCCCGGTTCTACACCAGCCGGTTCTACACCAATCGATTCTACACCAAACGGTTCTACACCAATCGATTCTACACCAATCGGTTCTACACCAATCGATTCTACACCAAACGGTTCTACACCAATCGATTCTACACCAATCGGTTCTACACCAATCGGTTCTACACCATCGGTTCTACACCAGTCAATTCTACACCAATCGTTTCTACACCAATCGGTTCTACACCAGTCGATTCTACACCAATCGGTTCTACACCAGCTTGTTCTACACCAGCCGGTTCTACACCGCCCGGTTCTACACCGCCCGGTTCTACAAAGCCACCTGGCTGGAGCCGATTTGATTAATAACTGGAACAGTAGGTGTCGTGGTGTGGATTAGAGTTTTTATGGCTTCTCTTTGTTTTGCCACTGAAATATAATGTTTCTGTAGTTTGTTGTGTTTTTAAGTAACGCATTCTGACCTGAAATGCTCGTGGGTCAGGCTGCAGATTCTTGACAGTCCAGCAGGGGGCAGTGGTTTAACTGCTTCTTCCTCTTCCTTAGAAAAGAAGAACAGCTGACGTCATTTCCAGCGGAGGGAACTCAACCCGGAAAAGGGTGTTGGCTGAAGGGGAGGAAGAACCAGAGCCAGAACCAGACCCGAATCCTGAGCTGCATCTTGACCCCGACTCGGAGTTGGACCGGAACCTCGACCAGCTGAGACCTGGAACACTGTAGCAATCCACGCAGCCTCAGTTTGATCCGGAGCGCTCTGCTAGCCGCTAACAGCTAACATTCCGGTAAGTTCGGAAGGAGCGGGGTGGGGTGGGGTTCTGGAGGTTCTGTTGAGGCCTCTGGACCAGAACCAGATGTCTGACCCAACCAGGGACCGATCACTGGATCAGAACCCAAAGGAGTCGGATCCGACAGGACAGGAAGTTACGTCAGCTTAACGGTTCTCTAAAGTTTTGATGACAGCTGGTTCAGATCCTCAGGGCCCCCGAATGTCTGAATGTGTTTCAGGGGCCCCGCCAGACATTCAGGAGCTGATCCGGAGCGTATTCTGTGCTGCTCACCGGTTCTGATGGATGACTGATTGGTTCTGTTGGTCCGGAAGAACTTGAGCCGTGCAGACCTTTGGAGAGGCTCAAAGTTTGAAAAGCGGCACAAACACAACAACCCATATGAACCAATAGTCTAATATTGAATCAGATTTTTCTATATCACTGTCATCACGTGGGCAATGCAAAGCTAAGATAGTCCATGTTTCTGGTTCTGCGGAGTTGATCTGAGACTGAAGCTGTGAAACAGACCAGAGGAGAGAAGGTCTCTGGTTATGAAGTTATGAAATTTCCTAATTTGCTGCTATTTTACTAAATAAGCCTTAATAATGTCTGTTAAACTCCATAGCAACTTGGCTGCAGACTTTTAAAGAGCCAAAGGCTGAGAGGGGTTAACTCTGTCAGTTTTCTATGTTAGCACCTCAGAGATGTAGAATTATTAGACTGAGGTATCTGGCCCATGAATGAGGGAAGGAGGGAGCGGGAGACCGACAGGCGGACCGGCGCCGGACCGGTCCGTCCTGGTGAAGAGAGCCGAGCCAGAAAGCGAAGCTCTCGATTCATCAGTCGATCTACGTTCCGACCATCATCATGAGCTTTGGGTCACGGCAGAGAGAACCAGGTCATGGATACAAGCGACCCAGATGGGTTTCCTCCACCGGGTGGCTGGGCTCTCCCTCAGAGAGAAGCTCTAACTTCCACATCAGACCCACTTTTTCATTCAGAAACAAGTTTATGTTGGGAAAAAAAAATTCTTGCCCATAACTTGATAGATGATCCTCTATAGATGTTCAGACATCAGCTCCATGTCACCATGGAGCCGATGTCTGAACATGGAGGCTCTGAGAGTCACTATTACACCGAGGGCAGCCAGACTCACCTGTTTAGCTAAATCTGCCCCAACCCCCTGCGTGTGCCTGAGAAGAACCTGCACCGTCAGCACTGAAGAAGCAACAGACTGAAGTTCCATCTGGAGCCAGAAGTTTACATACACCTGTCTGACATTCCTCCGGAACCAAAACTCTGGTTTTGGGTCAGAATCACCAGAATCATTGCTGTTTACTGAAAGCCTGAGTGATAATCTCAGAGATTATAACTATTAATATCTTCAGGATCAGAAGTTTCCATACAGAAGAGAATCATGGATCCAGTTCATTCTGGAAACTAGTTTATCTGAGTCAGACTGGGAACTGTTCAGAATGAAGAGGTTCAGTCATTGGTGCTGTTTCCTCTCGACCAATCGGCTGCTGTGTCTCTACAGGAGGGGAAGATGAGTGGCGGGATGAATAGCATTGACGCAGTGAAGAAGAAGATCAAGGTTCTGCAGGAGCAGGCAGAGGAGGCGGAGGAGCGGGCGGAGCAGCTGCAGCGGGAGGTGGAGAAGGAAAAGAGGACCAGGGAGGAGGTATGCACTCTGGTTCTGATCCAGTTCTAACCTGGTTTAAATGGCTCAGAACTC